TAGAGGGTTTATTCTGATGTGAAGCGGCGTGCATTGTGCACAATTATAGAAAACAAAAGTGTGCAGCAGGAGCTGCTGGCAGCATGAAGCTTCATCTTTTAATTGTTTTGCGCTAGAGAAATTCCAGGAGGGGCACACGTGTTCGGAATGGGTGTGGGTTGCATCTGATTCTGCTGCAGTGGAAAGCAAAGCTTCGCATACGCACTTTGCACGAGCCAGGCTCCCATGGCTTCCATTATGCAACCAGCCACGTTTCTGTGGGAGTTGCTTTCCGGTGGTTTCTGGCCGTTCTCAAATTCCCAAACATATCCAGAAGTCCAAAAAGACTGGGGACCCTTGTTTGGGTATGTCTTATTCTAGAATCACTGATTTCTTTTAAAGAAGCTTTTTTCAACTTGGCAGCTTCCAGATGCTTGGACTACAATCCCCATCATTCTGTGGCATGGACTATGTTGCACAAAGATGATGGGAGTTGTAGTCGGCTCTCCAAAAACCTCAGGGAGCAGAGATGCCCATGCACTTAAAAAAATTCCATTTGGGAGCCCAGGTTTTTTGTGGGGCTGCCACTCATGTGCCTCTTGGTTACAAGGACAAAACAAGAGCTGTTATTTTTCTGTTGGCTCCTTTTCCAAAAAGGCTAAACGATCGTTAGGCGTGTCAACTTCAGTTTCTCTCCATTTGTTTTTCCACTCTTAAATTCAGACCAGTTTTTTCCTTTACATGTTTGCTTGAAAATTCAGAAGTATTTTGGTGTGCGTTTCTCCTACTACAAGCAGTTTTTCTACGCATCTGCGTCTCATGTACCCACGTTTTGCAAGCGATGTTCCTAATTTAGTGCATTTTAAATCTTATTTTCCCTGACATGCAATCTTTTAGGCTTTGGTTGGAAAGACCCATTGCAACATTTGGAAAATCGGAATTTTGGAGGATAACTGAGTTCAGGGTTGCTCGGTGATTCAAAAGTGCCAAATTAGGTAACTCTGCATTTCCCTGACCCTTTGCTCCCACCTAACTTCATAGCAATGCCAGAGCGAGAGAGGAAGCAGTGCTGGATTAAATTTATCGAGACTCTGGGTGGGTTATATAAACTGGAGCATAAATTGTTCCAAGAATGTGGTCGCACTCAGTTTACAGTGACGGTAGCTTGCGAGTCCCGTCTTCCGTCGTCCAGCGATGGACATAAGCGGGGCAGCTCGGCTGTGGGCAATTAGCTTTCCACGGGGAAGCACGCGGAACGAGGATGCTGCTTTGGATCTCAGGCATCATTTATTTACAACCCAGTAACGATGACAAGAAATTGGAGAAGGAAGAGGAAGGAAAAAACATTCCTATCATGAGACCCAGCAATATCAGGCTTCCTGAGAGGGGAAGAAGAAAGCACAGGAAGGGAAGTTAACTTTTAGTTTCAAATGCAAGCACTAATATGAGCAGTCAGGCCATATTTATACAAATAGGAGTTTACTGGTTGTAGGACTTTAACTGCTTCAAACAACTCAGAGATATAGTAAATTCAGCAGGTTATTATTTCATGCCTGCCCAATAGCCGAGGCTCTTGCATAGAAATAAAAATAAGCAGTAATAATAAATATTAGAAATAAGAGAAGTGGCGCTTCGGTCCACGAAGCGCTGGTGCGTTTCCCTTCAAGGCTGGATCACCTGCAGGACACGATGCAGAGAGCATCCCGGCGGTTTGTCAAGTCAGAATGTGCCCCCACCCCCATGGGGATGTCCCGTTGGACAGGTGGTGGGGGTGTCCCATTCCCTAGCCCTGCTCTCAGAGGACTGTCTCTCCCCTGTGCTGGGCCAAAAGGGCAGAGGAGGCACATTTTCCTGGGCGCCCAGGGGGACACGGCCCCGCTGCTCTCCACAGCACCGAGTCACGGCAGCAGAAAATGAGTGGGTACCACATGGCAGCAGGAAACGGACGACAGCCGCCCGGAAGTGCCACAGGGCACATGGGGGGAGCTGTCCTCAGCGCGGTGGGGGCTCACCTGCCAAGCCAACGCAGTCAGTGAAGGCACGAGTCTGAGCATCCTCTGGTCTGACTCCCTGCCCTGGAGAGACCGATTCCTGGAGCACGTGCCTCTGAAGCGAAGTGCAGGCTCTGTTTTGCCCGGACTGGAAGCCGCAGCACCGAATTCGGGCTGTCAGAGTAATATGCTGTTTCAAACGACTGAGGAATCTTATTAAGTCCCCGGCAATAAACCTATGGCAGGATCGCTTCCGATCGCACCAGCGGAAGGGCCTGCGATTTCCTGTGTGTGCGTGTGAACATCACAGGGTGCAAGAGGAGCTAATCTGCCCTGGGGAGCTGGGTGGGTTGAGCTGCCCGTAAAGGCACAGTGACAGCAGCCAATTGAAAAGTTGGCAGCCCCAAGGAGAACTCCCCTGGTGAGCAAAACATCTTCATTAGCTTGTGAACTTATATTCTGGCAGCATAACCATGTAATCCAGAGGGGCTGAACCGCAGACCCAGGGTTGAAATCTGGAGCAGCAAAAGTTGAAACCCAGCCCGCCTGGGCTCACAGATTGGGCCTGAACAGCTCCCTAAATAGCTATATCTCCTTCACAGTACCAACCTCCTAGTCCAGTGATGGTGAACCTTTTAGAGACCGAGTGCCCAAACTGCAACCCAAAACCCACTTATTTATTGCAAAGTGCCAACACGACACTAAAACCTGAAAACTGAGATTTTAGTTTAGAAAAAACAACTCACAGCCAGTCCAGGCAAATATATATAAATCCCTGGCAGCGCACTGACCGCCCATGCGAAAGCTCGGACGAGTCGCGGCTAAGGAGTCATGGCTCATGACGTCATTGCCTGGCGCCGCTATTCCGTTCTGAGCATGCACATGGCCCCTATGTGCGCTGTTATCCGATGCTCAGCTGTTGGGGCGATGCTGGGGCAACTTGGCTTGCATGCCGACAGAGAGGGCTCTGTGTGCCCGCTGTGGCACGCGTGCCATAGGTTTGCCACCACTGGCTGAACCCTACCCTGGTGCACTCCCCTAACCCTAATATAGGGGTAGAGTTCCATTGAAAAGAGGGCGATTTTGAAAAGCCCTTCCTTGAGTAGCTTTTTCTGCGCAGCTCATCATATCTGCCCATTCTAAACACATTCCAGCCATCAAAACCCTGCCAGGACACCTCGTTTTCCTAACCCTAACCCTACCCTGGCGCACACCCCTAACCCTAATATAGGGTGAAAGTTCCATTGAAAAGAGGGCGATTTTGAAAAGGCCTTCCTTGAGAAGGTTTTTCTGTGCAGCTCATCATCTCTGCCTATTCTAAACACATTCGCCTCCACTGTCCTAATCTATCATCACCAGCACCAGCGCCAGCACCACCCTCCCTCCCTTCCTTCCTTTTGCAAGGCACCCAAAGCAAGTTTTCCTCATTTGCTCCTTATAAGAACAACCCTGTTAGGTAGGTTAGAGTAAGATCCTTGACTGGTCCAAAGTCACCCAGTGGGCATTACGGCCAATTGGGGACAAGAACCTGGATCTCTCAGGTATTGCCCAATGCTCTAACCACTATGCAACACTGCTCTGGCCTTTTCCCAGCCTTTGATAGGCTCCTGGCTTTTATGAGACAGTTCTTCACTTTCTGAAAGGCCGAAATTATTCCTCTAAGGTTTCGATGTGGGAGGTAAGAGTTGGAAGCTAAACTATGCCAGTATCTCCATATTTGGGCCCCACCCCTTAACGTCAGCCCTGCCTTCCTCCGGAGCATAGGCCGAAATTGTACCCAATCCTTGGCCTTCCAATCGACTCCTCAACTGCATTCAAATAAAAGTGCACATCATCAAAATCTGCCCCAAGCTGCATTTCTCAGAGACCGAAGGAAATGCAAGCCAGCATGTCTAGTGGTTAGAGCAGGAAACCCCCCCCCCCCATGGGCAAATCTGCACGGGGCCGTGAGGCTCAGTTCATACCGGCGGGCACTGCCACGTGCCCCAAGCTGCTGTGGCTTGGCACATCACGTGGATCTGCCTTTCTCTCTCTGCTGTTTACTTTACCCCTGAACTAGGCCAGAAAAGGTTCCTCCACCACCAGCACCAGCCACTTTTATCCCGAAGACCCGGTGGCTGGGAAACGCTCTGCCCGGCATGTTCAAAGCGTTGCCCCATCCAGCCCTGGTCTGCCTCCCGGGCGGAAAAGCCATCTCCTCTCCGGGCTTAGTCAGACCACGAATTGTGGCCTCCATTCGGACTATGATGCTGAGACCCCGGCATGGACCTTTCCCCGTGCAGAGCCCTCTGGGCTTTTCCCACAGAACTGTTTTCTGGGAGCGCTGCTGTGGCAGTTTTGAAATGTGGCTTTTAGGGCACCTGGGTCATTCTCTTCCACACACAGCGCTGCCCGGTTTCCCCCGTGCGGCTTCTGCCCCTTTCTTGCCGCAGAAGGTCAGTTAAGACAGAACAGACAGACCTGACCCGCCGGTGCCGATGGAAAGGGCCCCCGTGTGGGACTCAGTCCAGGAGCTTCCCCATTTGGCTGGACAGCCTGGTGCCAGCCGCTCTCTCGCCGGACCTCCCTCGCAGGGTTGTTGTGAGGAGGAAACACCGGGGAGGAGGCGGTGCAGAGCGATCTTGTGCGTTGGCCTGAACTCCAAGCAGGGAGTTGGGGAGGTTTCGATGAAATCGGCTCCTGGAAGGGGGCAAAGCTTGGTGCTGTTAAGCTGCAGTTGGGGAACCCAGAAATCCTGGGAATGAGCCGTTTCTGAACCAAGAAACAGGAATCCTGGGAATCTGCATTGGCTATGGGTGGGCACGGCTGCGTCTCACCCTGCCCTGCTCTGCTCCAGCCGTCCGACCTGGTCCTGCACCGTCTTCCTGAGACGCTCCTCGGGGGCAGCCTTCCCTGTGGGCGCCCCCAAAGGCGGATAAGCTGCTTGCCAGAAAGGGGGGGGCGCATGGGGCTTGCCCTCCACTGGGGGGTGGCTGGGTGCGTGGCCGAGGGCACCCTGCTCCAGACCGCCTTGCCTTCCCTCTTGCACAGATTCGGGCCTACATCGGGGGCCTCCGGCCGGACCACCGGGAGGACCAGGACATGCTCGCCTTCCGCCTCAGCGCCTTCAACCCCATTGTGGACCCCTGGCTCTTCATCATCTTCCGCAACACCGTCTTCCGTGGCCTGCGGAACTTTTTCTGCTATTGCCGCTGGTGGCCCTGGTGGCCCAGGACCCAAAAGACGCCCACCACGTTCGGGAAGCAAGACGGCGTCACTCCGCAAGACCACTCCGTCTGCTGACAGCAGGTGCTGCCTGACGCTCCAAGCCATGACCGTCCCGCTCTGGCCGGGCCGGGTTTTGGCAGGGGGTTCCCTGTCGTGGCATGGGGAGACCCTCAGGAAGAGGAGGAACAGAAAGGAGGGGGCCTCAACTTTTCAGTAAGGATCAATGGGAAGAAAGGTGTCGCTTGATGCAATGTTGATGTAAGCTAGTGTGTGTTTCTTGAGGACTAGCGGCTTGGGAGGGCTGTTCCTCTGCTTCGACAGTATCGGCTCCAGCAGGTTTTTTCCCCCATAGAAGGCTTGGCCTGGGGTCTCGCCCTCAGCTCCCCTAAAGGGAAAATCCTCCTGATAAAGGGATGGGAGACCAAACTTAAGCCGGATCCTTGGTCAGCTGCCAAGCTGGGGGAGAGGAAGAGGATGTAGAAAGGAACAGGGTGTGAGAGAGACAGAGGGTTGGCCTGCATGTTAAGCAGGCCTTTATCCCCTGCACTCTCTCATTTGTGAAACTGCCGGAAAGGCTGGGCCTTGGCCAGCTCACGCTTTTGGCATCAGTGATGATGGCACACAGGGTCCCATTGATCAAGAAAAGGTACTGTGAATCTTTGAAGTGGCAGAAATAAAGGTTGAATTTATATCAGACATACCTGTGTAGCGGTTTCTGGCACATGCGTGTGCAGGGCGTCCTGTGCCACTTCTGTGGTTCCATGAATATGTGCGGGAAGCAGATGGTCATTTTTACGGAAGGTCAGCCTGGTCCGAGGGAGGGATCCGGCCCATGGACACCATGGGCACCTCCTTTTTTGCCCCAGTGTCTCTTCTGACCAAGCAGTGTAGCAGGTTTTCTAACATATAAAAACCTGCAAAACCAGAGTCTGCTTCTAGGTGAGACTTTTATTGTCCTGCCTCAAACGCAGAATTTTACAAGGGAGAGTGGATCTTCCCTTTCAAACCTCTTCTCATGTATTTCCCGATTATCACATAGTTTCTCTTACCTCCATAAATTCTGTTAGAGAAAGATGGAAGCCCCCCACCCTGGAATATCAGGAAAGTAGGATAAGGGACAATCCCTTTCGGAAGCCGACCCTCCACAAAAACGACTGACTCAAGCCTTTGTGTTCGGTTTAAAAGAAAACTAAGTTTCCAGCCCTGCTTATTTTCACTAGCATGCAGGTATAGTATAAAAACTAGCTGGGGAGGGGAACATGCTCTGATTATGGCATCCATGCTCACCATGCCCCAAGGCTGATGCGCTCTTTTCCTTCCCTTTTGCTTCCTGTGAGCCCGTCTCAGATGTCGCCCCATCCAAGCACCTGCTCACTCAAGACTTCCAACCCGCTGACGTTACACTCCAGTAACCAGAAGGTTCAAGGCACAGAATAAATATTTCCTCTGCGCACTAATCCTTGGAGCGTTCCTCCAGATCGCTCCACTCCTACCCCATGCTCAGCCAAACAATAACCCCCCCCCTTGTCTAAATATTTGGAAGCAAGGCCCCAAGACGGGCGGGAGCACCTCCGTCGCACTCTCCCCGCCCTCCGAATTGTGCAGCCACGGGCCGCGGGGGCTCGGCCTGCCCCGGGGGCGGCTTTTTCGCTGGAGGAGTCCTGTGCGGCCCGGCAGAGGACCCCGAGGTGCCCCCGAGAGTCCCCTCCCCTCTCACAATGGCGCAGGCGGTGGCGGCGAGGGGCACGGAGCAGCAGGAGCAGCCCCAGCCCCGGCCCCTGTGCCAGCAGTGCTCCGCCCGGCAAGCCCTGCCATGAGGATGAAGGCGAGGAGGAGCGAGGGCGGCTGGGGGCAGGAAAGCCACTCGCTGGGCGAGGGGACCTGCGCAACCTGCCTTGCCCAGGGGCCGCCGCAACCCGGGAGCAGGCACTGGCCACCTCCCCGTTCCCCACATTCCTGGAGGGACAGAGGCGCCTCACCCAGCTGCAGGCAGCGAGTGCCCCCGGCTGCCTTCTGGAGGGCCCACACTGGCCCAGAGGAGCCGAGGCCAGCAGTGCTGGGCCACCTGGCCAGGGCGGGCTGCACGGACCCTCCGCCGTGGCCCCAAGGACCCCTTCCCGGCCCCGCCTCGGGGATCGTGCCTGGGGCCTTCCATGTGCCGGCTGCCTCCACGAGCCACAGAGGTCACACTGGGGGCCCCAGAGACGCTCCTTCCCACCCCGTCCCCAGTTTCACTCCCTCTCAGCAGCTGGCAGCGACGACGACACAGGGGAACTGGAGGCCCCCGTAGCTTTCGGGTGCAGGTCCCACTCGCATCCCGCCAGGCGGGGCCTTCCCCGCCGTGCATCTCGCCTCCGTCCTGCCAGCCTCCGCAGGGTGCCTGGTTGTGCGTCGGGGTGATCCTTGCGTCTTTCAGCAGAAGAGTTCTTGGGTGGGGGGGGGGGGGGGGAGCAGGACCTGGCCTCCCAGAAGCCGAGGAAGCCAGTCCCAGCTCCGTGTCACGCACTGCCAGCGCTGTCAGCTGCCCGGATGAGTCAGGGAGCAGCCGCCGCAGCGGCCCTGGTAATCCAAGCAAAGTGTCTCACCTGGAAATCTGCCCACCAGCTGCGAGCGCCTCAGCAGTTGCTTCTGGCTCGGAGCGGGCGGAGGTCGGGGCGGGCTGGCATCCCCATCGGCTCATTCCGGCAAACGCGGCCAGATGCTTGGGCCACGAAAGCTGTGCTCTGCCGCACAGGAAATCCAGATTTTGAGTGATGCTTGTTTTAAGAACCAAAAGGCGCTGCCTGGCGTGTTTGGCAGGGGCTGCTTCACCCTTTCAGGGCATCCCGAGGATGGGAAGGAGGGATGGAAGGCCCAGCGTGAGAGACTCTCTTGATGCTGCCAGGCGGCACGGCGGCCTTGCTGGCCCCGGCTGCTAACTCGGGCCCCATTTCTTGGGCACCTCCAGGAATTATGGGGAGCAATCAAAATGCACCCCGGCATTACGGCATTTATTTCCTGCCTTTTCCCCTCTTGCGAGGAAGCGAGTTTCCTTGCAAGGTTTACCCCTTTCATTCCAAAACCTGAGGACCATGGTGAAGCCATGCCTTCTGCCCGGGTGCAGAGGCACGCTGCCCTTTGTCACGCTCTCCATGTCATGTGACATCTGCAGTGGGTCCCTGCAGCTTTGCAGTGCCCTGCGCACAGGAGCACAACCATCCCCGGCGCTGGGAACGAAGCAGTCACATGACGTGGAAAGGAAGCTCCTCCTCCCATTGAACCCGGGAGCTCCGAGCAGCTTGAGCAACGCTTGCCGCAATCCCCACCTCGAGGCCGGGCTGCAGGAAGTGGCTCTGGCGGGTGGGGAGCAGTGGCCGTTGCCCAAGAGTCCCGGTCAGCACCAGGGCACACTTCGTGCCGTTTGCCTCAGCAGCGCAGGCAGTGGCTCATGCAGCCCGTTCGTCATTCTAGTCCTCAGTGCCAGAGGAAGCAGGGTTTCTAAAATCGTGGCAGCCTCTTAGGGAAGGCCTCTTGTAAAAAAGCGAGAGCGCCGGTGGTTTCAGTGGTGTTGAAGCAAAGCCGTCATCAGAGGGGCTGAGCCGCCACGATCCGCCACGGCAGGCGAGCCTCGGAAGGGCTTCTCTCCTGAAGGCCTTTCTTTGCAGACGTTTCGGGGTGTCTTCCTGGCGTCCTCCTCCTCCAGGGCCTCTTCCTCGGGCAGGAGGATGCGAGAGAGGAAGCACGTGGGCAGTGAGCCAGCTCATCCGGGAGGATCGGATGCCGCAGATGTCGCTCACGGGGGCCCTGCCCTGTCATTGCCGCTCAGAGCGTGGACTGCGGGGTGGGGGGCCACACAGAGGGCTCCCCTCTACTGTGCCCCCCCCAAGACCACCCCTGCCATCAGGGGCTGCCGCTCGCTCGGGGGCTTCCCAGAGACAGTAAGCAGGCCCAGTCTGATCCGGCCAGGCCCCTCCTGCGTTCCTTCCTTCCTTCGCAGCCCCCGGGCTCCTTCCAATCATTACATCACTGCTATCAGAGACAGGCAGCCAGTTTCCAGCCATAATGCCTCTTGTTGTGGTTCCTGCAGCGTTATCATTTCATTCTTTCAGTAATAGCGAAACCCTTCAGGGAGGCTATTCATGGAAGAGGAAATGATGCTGCTGCCTTAAAACAGGCCCTTTTATTCATGTGCTTGCACTGAGTTAATGGCACATCCAGTCGGTTTGCTGCTTGCCTTCCTGGCTTTCTCAACACCAACCGTTAAGCCAACGAACGAAACCAATGCGAGAGGGGCAGGGTCCGTGCAAGGACGCCCGCCCTGCCGGGCAACGTGGGGCAGGCCTCCCCAACCTGGCACCGCCCAGATGTGCTCGGCTGCCCCTTCCCCCGGGAGGGCCGTGGCCCGGGCGTCTGGCGCTGCTGGGTGGGGGGACTGAGGTTGGGGGGCATGAGCTGGCACGAGGCGGCACAGGAACCAAGCGGGGACACCCTGGCCCCAAGCCCGCTCTGCTAGTGTCCCCTTGGTGCCCAGGGAGGAACTCGGGGAAGCAAAACAGGCGCAGGCAGAGCGGGGAGAAGCATCCCTGGTGCAGGCCCTGCTTCCTCTTGCCCAGCGTTGGTTCCCCAAAGCTTTGAGTCGTGCGCTTTAGAGCAGGGGTGGCTTTCGTTGCCACGGTTGTTGCGCAACTTGGGGTCAGAAGACCTTTGCCACCCTGCTAGGAATTAAGAAGGGGTTTTCTGCAAGGAGAGCTGGCCGTGCACCAAGGGAGAGAGCTTGTGATTTCCAGAGGTGGGCTGTCATTGACAGACGGACGCACCCTCAAGGCCTCTGTGAGAGCTGCCGGTGGTCCCCGGCTGGCCACTGCCAAACGCTGGATGCCAGAAGGGCTGGACTTCCTGTCTGATCCAGCAGGTCCACTCTATCGTCTTCATGTTCTCACTTGGCCTTCAAATTCATGGCCTATCTTTAGGCAAACGGTTCTTTCTATAGGGCAGCTCCCGTGACGTTGGGAACAAGAAAGATGGCTGCTTTGGGCACGAGAAATGGGCCACACGGTGTCATTCCACAAGTGCAAACAATACCGCACAAGAGGAGAATCCCATCAAAAGGACACTTGTACAATTGCCATTGTGCCTCTGGCTTGCCTTGCACTTGGGCGATCCACAGCCGAGCGCTGCATTCGCACAACTCGCTGTGCAAGCATAATGCACACCGTTGGTGGAACTCCGCTAGGGCTGTTGGAGATGGTGGAAAAGGCGTGTTGGCTCCCTGCTTCCTTCACCCGCCTCCCTTAAGTTAGGATTCCGGGAACTCTGTCAAACCTTCGCTCTCGACAGATGTGCTCTGCCGGCTTTTTATCGAACCACTGGGCAACGGAGAACCATGCATGATTCTGACGCTGGCACGTAGGCGAGGCGCTCCGTGTTTCTGCGCGAGCAGCTGGAGTGCTGAGTGGTGCTCAGGAATGGCATCTCCTTAAACCGCCAAGGGAGCCGGCCGGCTGGAGCGCAGGCACCTGGCACGACGGAAAAAAGGCCAAAGAAGGTATTGACCTGGCTGTCTGGGTAAACAGCCAGGCCTGCTTCTCTTCAGCTCCGAGGGGGAATGCCAATGCTCCACGGCCCCCACCCGCCCAACTGCCTCAGCTTTGCATTCCCCTGGCCTGCAAGCGGCTGCAGAGCATGGCCGAGCACAGCCACCCAGGACGCTCCGTCGCACAGGAGTCCGAATGCTGGGAAGAAAGGCACGCACATGTCCAAAGGAGCCGTTTGCTCCAGGTAGAAATTGCTCTTTTGGACGGCTCTGAAGCAGAGCGCGAGTCGGTTTCAGCAACCCCCTCCATCAGCCACACCATCCCAGTTCTTCCACCTCTGCAGAGAGCTGTTCTTAAGTAGCCTCCCCGCTTTCTAGGCCAGCTGCCCTCCCTCGGATGAGCTTAACTCCTGGACCCGAGTGGCCTTCCTCAGTAAAGAGCAGGGGCACCAGGCACGCCTCCTTGGGGAGCTCATTCCAAAACCAGGTGCCACAGCCCAAAAAGCCCTCCTCCTCTGCTTGGGAGCACAAAGGTTTCCCTCCGTTTCAACTACAGTCGGTGGAGCTTCACTGAATCCCTCAAACCAGATTCACCATGGATCACACTGCCCGCAAAGTCAGAGCTTTCCCATGTCGCATTCTCTTCTCCACACTGGTGTGATGAGTCGATTTAGAGGACAGGGGAAACTGTCGGTTTCTGTAGCTGCGTCCCAAGCGGAGTCCAACATGTCTCAGTTGTGCCGGTCCACATCAAAAGACCAATTCTTCGGAAAATCTAATGCATCTTAATTGCCTCTAATTGACCAAGCCAGTCCAAAATAGCTTGCAGTAGCTACACGACCTATTGCTGATGGAAAACATCATTTAGCTGATCCGATGATGGCAGAAGCGCTCAGAGGACAAAGGGAAGGCTGGGTGGGACAGCAAAGGATGCCTGCATCCATACTACTCAAAAAGTTGCTGGCGCTGACCAGCTGGGCCCTGGATCTGCAGCCCGGCCACTGCCCCCAACAGGGGGTCACGCCAGCATGCCTTAATCTCAACGGAAACGCAAGTCAGTGCACAGCCCTGGTCATGCCGATCTCGCAACATTCCCAGGAAAGAAACAAGCAGAATTTCAGAGCTCCGTGGCACTAAATGCTACTCTCCCTGTCCTGGCCAGCAAGCGACCACCCAGGAATAAATTATGTAAAGGATGCATGCACTGTAGTCTTTTTGGTACCAGGTGAAAACAGCCCTTTCAGCATCCTGGGTAGTGTCCTTCCATGCTTCTTGCTGCTGGCTTTTACTTGGCTTTTACAGCAAAGATTTAAATTGGGGGAGGCTTTGTGCTGTTGGCTCCTGCTGCTGTACTTCACGGGAGTCTCTGAGAACCCTCCAGTGGGGTAGTATAGAACTGTATAGACGGATTAGCCAATGCTTGCACACCCTTCCCAACTGGGTGCCCCCACTGATGGGAATGATGGGAGCTGCAGTCCAATGCCTCTGGAGGGCACCGGGTCGAGGCAGGCGGGCTCGGAGTCACCCTCCGCACAGAGGGCGTGCAGGGGCACAGCCTGCGTCCGATGGAAGCTCAGATGCCGCGAAGACAGGCGTCTGAAGGGAGGAGGCCTGCGTGGAGGGCGGTGGTGAGAGGGAGGGGGCAGCTGCAGGGAGTCCAGGAGATGTGCGATTTACGCCTTGCCTAGTTGCTTGCTGTGGAGTCCGTGGGCTTGCAAATGCCTGCTTTTCCTGGTGCCGGGCTCCCTCTGCTGCCCACAGATGGCCACAGCCGCAGCTCAGTTCTGCCTCTTGCTCAACTCTCCCCACCAATTCCGGAGACCAACCGTGCTCACTCCAAAAGTGCCCCATCCAAGATTTCAATCGTGTTTGAAGATGCCCAAAGCTACTGTAGAAGACCAAAGTGGCTTCCCCCATCTGGCTGCCTAGCCGGGGACGTTCAGCAATTTTAGAAACTCTCCCGGTTGCTGTCAGAAAATGGCTGCCATCGGACAAGCAGCCTGCACAAACGTGCTGAGGCCCAACACACGAACTCCGATTTTCAGCACCACGCGAAGGCTATTTCAGCACTATTCCAGCCGCAGGGAAGGGAGCTGTGCTCCTTGGTCCAGTGGGGAGTTGAAGGAGAGGTCGCAGGGGCGGCTTCCAAGAAAGGTGCGGGGGAATTTTGTGCAACTCTGCAGCATCACAACTTTGCTTTTTCAGTGGAAAATCAAGAATTGCTGGCTCAGCTTTCACAGAGAAGGGAAGGGAAACAGTAGATCAAATCAGCATGGTAGGATTTTTTTTTTTTAAACATTCGATGCCGAGTGCCTGGGCAGTTCTCTTTTCCCGCCCATCTTTGAAGACATGAGAGGGGCTGCCAAGGATGGCTGAAGTTGCCACCTGGGAATGTGTACTTTTAAAGAACCGTAATTCCTAAAACAGAAATCCGCCATTGCAGGCACTTGCAGTAGAGGTCCTTCAAGACCACTCCGCGGGAGTCGCCATTCTGGCCACGGACTTGTACCCGGCAGATGGATTTTCCACATCCACAAGAGCAGAGGGGTCACCGCTGATGCACCAGCATCGTGGCTACATGTTCTCAGACAGCTGCCTGTCTCGGCTCATCTGCAGGCAGACACCCCATAGCAAGGCGCATAATTGGGGGGGGGGGCGTTGAAAGAGTGAAAGCCGGACTTCTCATGTGCGAGAACCAGGGGTACCGCCTCTTGTCCTGTCCAGAAAGCCTGCGCGCTTCGGCCTTCCCCACCCCTCCAGATGGCGCACGGGGAGCCCAACCAGCTACAAGAGCTGGCAGGGAGGGGAGCGGTAACCACAGCAGCTTCCTTTTCCGCTTCATGAACTATCTGCCAGTCCTGCTCCGATCCGCACCCAGCACACAAAACGTCCGTCCCATGGGGCATTTAAAAAACTGCCAGCAAGAGGAGAAGAGGGAAGCTGCACCGGAGGTCAGTTTGATCCTCCCGGCAGTCAGGATTGCTCCCGGCTTGATCGCAGCCCCTCCACCTTCCTGTCATAGCTGAGCCAGAGATGCACCACCGGTGGGCCCTCCTTCCACTGCTCTGGCCTGCAGCTCCTAACGGGAGTTAAACTTCTGAGAAGCCTGGCTGCGTCAGACCAAGTCCAGCCTTCTGCTCAGACGGGGGCCAAGGAGCTGCCCACAGAAAACCCCCAGACAGGAGGGCCACAGCCCCCCCCTGCCCTCGCTGTCTGGCAACCGCTCTGCACGCCTCCTCCAACAGAAGAGGCAGCAAAGAGCCATCGGGACCAGGAGGAGCGGACGATCTTGCCCTGCGTTACTCCATCCAATCGCCTTTAAAGGCCACTTCATCTAGCGATTTAAGACGCCTGCTGTAAGGCTTCTGCGTCTTCAGAAGAGCAGTGCAATGAGAGGGATAAGGACGCAATAGCTAAGCGGACCAAAGATCACTTCTGGGGCCAGCTGAGAACCAAAGCGAATCTGGGCGTGTTTCTCTGGAGAGCCACCCTTTGACTCCGAGGCTTAGCAAGGCGAAGCTGCTGGGTACGGGCTGTTTTTAGATATGTCATCAACTGCAGGGTAGAGAGGCCGGAAGTGTAAGGAGAAGTTGGAGACGGCTGAGTTCCTCAGGAATTAGTTAACATGTCAACAATGATGCTTTAAGAGGGAGATACTTAACTTTGGAATAAGGGGCTTAAACCAAGCTAAGCCACCTTAAAGCACTCTGGCTACCAAGTGGGAAGGATTCTGCTCAAGAGGCAAGGCCTTGCTTTCTTTCTGGACTCAAAGAATGTTTCTTCTTGGAGAAGGGGGAGCAGGGTCTTTGCGGGCAGACTGTCGCTCTAACCCTGCATTAGGTATGAAGGGCGTCACATGCAGGTTTTGCAAGAGCGCCGACCCACAAGCTTCCCATTCGCCCCACTCGACTCAGGACCAGGGCTGGGAGCTGCAGAGACGCAGGGAAAAGGTCGCTTCTGCCCCCGACCAAGCAGTCCGAGCCCCCACGCGAGCCGGCACACACACCGGCCAGAAAGAGCACCTCAGAGGGGCCGTGCTTGTTGCCACCGGTAGCCGCAAGGCCAGCGAACCTTCGGAAGAAACCTGCTGCCAATTTGCTTTCAAAATAACAATTCACAAAGGAACATTTGTCACGTTCCCCCAGGAGGCATCTCCCCATCTCAGCTGCTCCAGCGACTGTGAAACAAGCAAGTACAGAGGCTCATTTAAAGAGGCACAACAGCCATTTCAGGTAGTCACTGCATTTTATTGGAAAACATTGATATTTTATTTTCACAGCTTGAACTGAACACAACACCACCTGCTTTCAAAGACAGTCTTACTCCAAACTCCCCCACACCCCCTTTCCCAAGCGCTCGGGCCACGTCTGCTGCCACAGAGGCACCGAAGTCAGGAATCCAAGGAGGCGCGGCCAAATCCGCCACGGACTACACAAAGCACTCTTCTTTCACCCGGTTTTAGGGAAATTCTGTTTGTTGCGATTTTCCATCCAAAACTTTATTGATTAAAAAATAAAAGTGAAAAAGAGAAGCAAGTTCGCGGCTCATGCTGTTTGCCGCAAGGAAAGTGGGGGACAGGCCGAGTAAGGAAGCAGCGTCAAAGAGCACGGACATCAAAGCCAAGGTGCGGCACAAGCGTTAAGTCGAGCCACTACAAAAAAGCATTGCACACGGAAGGCGGGCAGAGAGGAGAGGGCGCTCCGGCGCAGTCGGCCCCTCGCTCGGCAGCGGCTCCACCGTTTTATTGCGGTTCCGTTCCAACGCCTCCCCCCCTCCAGCTGCCAGTCAAAAGCATCCGCCGTCGCCACTCATGGGGCCCACCCCAAGGGGGGGCAGCATCAGATATTTACAGAGCAGCTCTAGTGTCTGGACACGCGTAGGAAACTGTCGGGGCATTTACAATTTATACAGGGTTCGGGACAAGACAGAGGTCGGAGGTGTGGGCGGTGGAGTTTGCTTTTGTTTGTCAAAGAGCCAATCGGACAGTGTCGGACGCCCCCCTCCCCTCCCCTCCCCTCGATCAGCCTCTTCCCCAGATCACGCTGATGGAGCTCTCTGGAACCCACCTTCAGCCACAGGCACCCAGGTGGAGGGATGGCTTCCCCTCCCGCCCTCCAAAGAAAACTAAGAAAAAAACCAATTTCTTCCTTGTGCCCCCGATGTTCCTCGGGGCAAGACCTTCGGTGGCGACCGCCATGTCAATGCGCACGACCACAGTGCCAGACACATGCAACACGATGAAGAAGGGTTTGCGCTCTCTCCACCCATCATGTGGATTCTCGGAAGAAAGAGAAAGAATCTGCGCCCTGGGAGAAGGGCCAGCCCTGACTGCAGAACAGAATACCCGATGGAAACAAAGACATCCGCAAGGCCGGGGAACTCTCGGGGATTTCAAGGGATGCGCCAGGAAGGAAGGAAGGAGGGAGGGAGGGAGGGGGGAAGGAAGGAGGGAGGGAGGGAGGGGGAAAAGAGCAAGAAGAGGAGGGAGAGAGGAGTGCAATCATGCAGCTTGGGAAGGATTCTTTTTAATTGCTTGGTCAGATTTATTCCACAGCCGATTGTTTGCGTAGAGAACCAGGTTACTTAAGTAGAGAGAGTGTGTTGGAGAAAAGTATCGAAGGAGAATGGGCCTTGCCAGCCACCCACTCCGCAGGGCTCACTTCGCAGTCATCATCTGAACAAACTCTGCAAGAGAGGGGCCAGGAAGGCAGTGAGCACAAGGGCGCCGGTCAAGCTCCCGCCCGCCCTGCTCCGCTCCGCTCCCTGGACCAGGCGCTCGCCACGGGGCAGCTACCAAAGGGGCTGGCCCACGGCACGGGGGCTGCAGGCAATCATCCTGGAGACGCAAGACACATCACCCGAACTCAGGGCCCAGGGATTCTGCGAGTCACACAAGCCTCACGTGACCCCAGAACAAGCCGGCGGTCCTGCAAGCCATGCATAAACTGCAGTCCCTGCGTCCAGATGACAAGACTAACCGTGGCACGACCTGAACATTCAGGAGGGCGTCCACAGATGCCATGGCTCACCGTGGTAGACAAGTGGCAAGCCATAGAGATTGTGCAAAGCCGGTCAGGCCTACATCGTAACACCATAAAACTCTGCCACCCTCAGGATCAGAGCGAGGGTGACGTGATCGCAGCAATGCCACCTGCACCTCTGCTTTTTTCCAGGCAGAACAAACGGGACTGGAGCACATCCTCCTGCTGGTCACTGAGCGCAACATGCGCATGCAGAGTGTGGGACCCCGCCCCCCACTCAGGAGTGGGGCACAAGCACTGCAACGGCGGCCACACCACAGCAGGCACCCCATTTCTTCCCAGCAGCAATGGGGGTGCCTGCTGAGAGAGAATGCGCTGACGTACCGAAGGCCCGAAGTACCAGCAAAGCCTTTATGTTTCGCACGTGCTTCGCGCACAACCCCGAGGGCACCCGGCTCCAGGCCGCTCTCTCTCAACCGTGGTCCCTCAAAGCTCAAGCATGCCCGAAAGCCGCCGAGGATCTGCCACCGCCCAAAGCTGCCCTCTGGTGTACAGAGCAGTGCTGCTGAGGCAGCCGAGGGCCAGGCAGTGCCTTCTCAAGGCTCTCCAGGAAGCAGAAGCCCCCACCTCGAAACGCGCCAGGGCTGCCAGGCGGCAACACGCAGGGGGCCCCCGACTCACCTTCATAGTTGACCTGCCCGTCCCCATCAATGTCCGCCTCCCGTATCATTTCGTCCACTTCCTCGTCGGTGAGCTTCTCCCCTAGGTTCGTCATCACGTGGCGCAACTCCGCCGCACTGATGTAGCCGTTCCCGTCCTGGGAAGAAAGGGGGCAGTTCAGGGAGGGAGCGCGGCAGGCAGCTCCTTCGGCTTTCCCCACTCTGCATGGTGCAGGGGAGGGCTAGTCGTGGCCCCTTCCCACTAGCGCCAGGCAGCCTCCTGCACTGCGGCCCCACCTTATCAAACACCCTGAAGGCCTCCCGGATCTCCTCCTCACTGTCCGTGTCCTTCATCTTTCTCGCCATCATGGTCAGGAACTCAGGGAAGTCGATCGTGCCATTGCCTGAAAAGAGAGTGGCGCTGAGGAGAGGAGCCGGCGCAAAGCCAGGGGGCCCCCTTTGCACCCAGCAGGCAACCTGGAACAGCCACCCCGGGGCGAGGGGAGCCCCGCCGGAAGCAGGGCTGCGTCGCTGCCACGGGAGGCTTCACAGTGCACTGATGCAGGGGCTGAGGTGGGCTCACTATGCCACGTGGCGGTTTCTACTTCCACAGAAGCAGAAGGCAGCAGAACCCGACGCAGGAGCCACTGGGACCACCTGAAAAAGCAATCACCGAGGATGCTTCAATTTGCGTTTCATGTCTATCAAGCACCTTGGGTAACAAAGCCGAAAAGAAGGACGAACTCTGGAAAGGCAGGCCCCTTCCTCTCCCTGCCTCTGTATAGACAGCATATTGAAGACAGCACCCTTGGCCCCGGTACGTTGCCACAGCTTCAGCTGTGTGGATAAGCAGCCTTGGTCGAAGCAAGCCGTGCACGGTCCGGAGCAAGCAGAGACGCCAAGTGTCTTGTGCACATACCTCCACTGATCCTCACAGGAACCTCAGCGGAACCCAGATGCTGTTTTCTGGAGCTTTCCTGGACTCCCAAGGGCTCCCGGTCACCCCCTGCCAGCCCAGTCCCCACCACTCCCGGCATCACGACGATTGCTATTACAGGTCACCCTCTCGGCTACTCTGGCAACATCGATCCGACACAGCAGCAGCTCCTCCTCCCTTCTGCCTCCGAAGTGACTGACTGGGCCCGGGCACCTGGTGACCGTGGGCAGGGCGGCCGGAGAGGCTTGGCAGGCCTTGGACAAGCTCCGCCCAGCCGCTGCGAAGGGCGCTTGCGAATCGGAATCCAGCCTGGCACCAAAGACCCGCAGAGCCCGCCTGGCCTGGCCTGGCCTGCTCACTCTGCCCGCGCCCCTTGGCTCCCGCAACTTACCATCCGCATCCACCTCGTTGATCATGTCCTGCAGTTCCGCCTCGGTGGGATTCTGCCCAAGGGAGCGCATCACGGTGCCGAGCTCTTTTGTGGTGATGGTGCCGTCCCCATCCTTGTCAAAGAGGGAAAAGGCCTCCTTGAATTCTGGGGAGAAGCGAACTCGTTAGAAGCTATGCCAAGGGCCGATGCACACCATCAGTGGCCGTCCTTGAAAATGCAGCAGCAGCTTCCTAGCCAGGCCTATTCCAAATGTTTAGGAGAAGTGCAAACCAGGCCAGGTCTTGTGAGGCCTTGCAATGCCGGTGCCTCAAATGCTGAGGCTGCTGCTCACATCTGCTCATCCTTTTCCCGCCCAGAAGCTCCACCTGGGTTCTTCGCCTGCTCTGGGCCCCCGTCACTGGCAGGTGTGGGAACAGCGTGTCTTACAGGGCCTGTGCAGAGCGAGGTTGGCCAGACCTTGGACCTGGTGCAAGACGGGGGTGCTGAGAGCGATGCACTGGAGATTCAAATACCAATTAGGGGAGCTTCCCCACTGAGGCCCCTGGCACCACCTGAGTCGTGCCTTTGGCATCCCATTGAGACTGCCCTCTGCCCCAGGATTCTGTAACATGTGATGGGAAAGGCCTCATTGTATTAAGTGAAAATGCTTTCGCTGTTTAAACTATTTTTGCACACTGGAATTTTATACTGTATTTCAGTATAGCTGTGCCTCCAATGACCAAAACACAGAATCAAACCAGGAGAATACGATGCTAAATGGACTCAAAAGCAAGTGGGGAACTGAGCAGGATCAGCAAGACTGTGCTCCCCAGCTCTGATGAAGGTTGCCCAGTAGGGTGACCAGGCTGGCTCTGCCCCAGAGCCCCGAATGAAGCAGGTCCAGATCACCTGACTCCTGCAAGGTGCCAGCAGCTGCTCTGCCAGAGCCCTTCCCGGCACCTGACCCCCAAAAGGAGTGTTCGCTGCTGGCTGGGTGTTATCGGATACCACTGGGTCGAGAGCAAAGTTCTCCAGGAGCAGCTGCACCGGTGCATCCTTCAGAAACCGCCCCTCCAAGAAAAGAGGCCTTTCCCACTCCTTGCACCCACCCCGCCAGGCCCCCTGGCAAGCTTTGATCAGCCAGGGAGGACAAGGGCTGAGGGCGCAAATGGTTGGCCTTTGCATCAGTGGCCACAGCAGATGACACTGTATCCGCACATTCTTTTTTCTGAACTGCTGTGGGCTGCGCAAGGAGGCTTGGCTACTGGCATGAATTACCAGCAGCCATCAATCTCCATCGGCATCACTGGGAACCGGAAGCCTATGGAAATCACCCCCATCCTAACCCACCTTCTGCCACCCTCAGTACAGAGCACATGACGGGCTGAAAGAAAACAGCCTTGTCCTCCGCAGAATCCACAGCTGCCCCTCCTGGGTGCATCTCCAAGACGTCTGAGCAGTGCTTGAAGCAGCTCGAGTGCCGACAGCAGCTCTCGGCAGCAGACGGGATGCAGATCGATCCAGCATGCGGGGGCGGGGGGGGAGCAGGTAGTTAACTTGTATTGCCAAAGCAAGGTGGGGACTCACCTGCGATCTGTTCTTCAGTAAGCTGGTCAGCCTGGAGAGAGAAAGAGAGAGAGAGAGATTGATCCACTGCCAAGCCACAGTCATTCTCTGCTTCAAGCCTTTGACTAGCATTCCCAGCTCAGGGTCCATGTCCTCCCATTCTGCCGCACAGGTAGGCCCCCCACATGTTCCAAGGAGCCTCCCACCCTTGCGGCAGCTCACCTGGGATTGCAGAAACAACTGGCAGGCTGCCCTGCAGGGCTACAGGCGGCCCAGAGGGTCACGGGCCATGCAGCCCAACCGCCGGCTCTGCACCTTCAGAAGCAAAACCCCCGTGGGCCTGCAGATCAGTCGGGGCCCCACCCAAGCCTCGCTTCAGGGCTCTCCCTGCTCTCGCATGTGCCACCGTCCATCACGCTGCCTCTCATAAGATGCTTCTGAACTCCAAGCTGAGTGCGTTCTCCACCGAAAACGAGCCACAGCAGAACCGCAGCTAGAGCGCAGCACCTGCATCCTTGCAAGCCACTTGCAGCCAGCAAAACACCTCAGAGCTGCCACCAAGCTCCGTGCCTCCACCGGTTCACCACTTCCACCGCACTTCTAGCCATCTTCTCTACAGCTGCTTTGCTAAAAGTTGCCCTGTCGCATCCTATCCTCTTACGAGGACCCCAGTGAACAACTCTGCTCATTTAGCCAGCCTTCAGGCACTGTGGGCTGGAGCACCGAGAAAAGGAAAAGGCAGAAGAGTTACCACAAGGCCAATCTTTATCAGGAAGCTTCTGTGTTTGATTAATGCACAGGCTGCACCATCAAGGGGAAATTTAAAGGCATGCCACCACGCCTATCGGCCTCCTTCTTACCTAGCAGCTTCGGCTTGACAGGAGGCCAGGGAGGAGCCCGACCGGATCGGGCAAGGGGCCAGCTAGTCCAGCATTCTGCTCGCACACCTGCCCAGGGATCCCACAGAGCGCAACAGCACCTGCCCACCCACACCGCCCAGCAATGAGTGCACACGGGCATGCTGCACCCGATACCTGCAGCCTCTTAAAATTCAGAGTGAGCCATCCAGGTCACACTGCGCTTACACAAGCTGAAAGCAGGTGCGCTACCAGAGGTGTCTGCAGACTCGTGCAGCAGCCTCCAAATGAAATGGTGGGCTCCCCGGTCAGACTGATGACCTCATTTGCAGGTTCACGGTCACTAGAAGGCCACTGAGTGCAAGGACCAGGCATCTGTGCAGTCCCGGGGGCAAACAAGACCAGGGGGCACAGCTGTCCACCCAACCGTGGCCACCTGCCACGAGGGCCGTGTGTTACCTCCAGGCTGAGAAACCACGTGCCACTGCTGGCCAGCCGTCTGCGAGCAGCAGGCGAGCTCCGTGAGTCAATAAGCCACGGTGGCAAACAGCAGGCTGGGCAAGACGGGTCTTTATGCAACCCAGCAGAGCCGGGGAAACGCCTTCCTAGCCAGGCCCAGCACCAATGCAAAATCCACCTTGCCAGGGATTCAATGGCCTCTATCTTATTCTAGTAGTCACTGACTGATTTCCCAGGAAAGAAAAGTTGAGGCTCGAACCTCCTGCACAGGCCTCGCCAGAGACTTCTCAGTCCTCTCCAAGCAAGTTTTTAAGCAGTGACTCAAACTGAAAGTGGAGCCTGAAAGCAGCACTCTTCTATTTCCTGCATGAGATACTTTTAGAAATGAATTCTGACAAGGCAGTTTGCAACAGTATTATCCTGCTGCTTTCTTTTAACTGGGATCACAATTATTCTTCTTTCCTCAAGTGGAAGCCCAACCAGACATTCTTTACCTCCAAAGTAAGGTAGGTTTCACAAAGGCACCGTTCCAACAGCGGTTTTCTGGTTACAATGTGGGATTTGTTGCAGAAATGTTAAGCCCCTGGGATGAGAGTCCCTGTGTTACAGTCGCAGGCTCAAGAGTTAGACTTTGACCAGAGAGATGCAGGTTCAAATGCTTGCTCTGCCATGGAACATGCAGGGTGACCTTGGACAAGCCACTCGCTCTGATCCTGAAGCACCGCACAGGAACGTTGCGAGGATTAAAGGCAAGAGCAGGACATCACAGACAGCGATAAAAGAAGAAAAGGCAGAAAGGCAGGGCAGGCACTTAACGGCATCAAGTTGCCAAGAAGAGGGATGGGCACCCCACCTTGCCCCAGCAGGTGGGCGACTCCGGGGCATCCTGGACAGCGGCACCGCGGCTGCATTCTGCCTGGTCTGGCCTGCCTCGAGTTGGCTGTGCTGCCGAACCCGCTTCCGCGCTGGCCCAGCGGCAGCCTGCAGCACACACCCACCGCCACGCACTTGGTCAGAGGTCTAGCATCCCACTTCGCCGCGTCTGGAAATGGTGCTGGAGTGACAACACAAGGGCCACTTGGATCCCGGCCTCCACTGCAGTCCCAGCCGTGCCGGCACTGCAGCACAGCCAGAGCCAGAGCCGCGATGCGAGGCAAATCTGGCACTGTTGGAGATCTGCCCTCCGCAAACTGCAGGACGCACCAAGGACTGCCAAGGATACGAGGTCTAGGATGGAGCAGCCGGGAGGAAGACGTCTCAGACGTGAATGGGATGCGGCCATATCAAGCCCTCCCTCCCTCCACATTCTGGAAAAATCATGGCTTATTGAAAGAGATCCTTCTGCAGAGAAACTATCGCTACAGAGGGGTCGGCCCAGAGGTGCTCAGCTTCACCGCCTGCAGCAGGGCTCAGCAGCCCTCTGCTGCCAGCAGAGGAAACAAGGATGATAAAGCAATTCCAATCCAGCAACAGCAGACGGGAATCAGAGGAAGGTTTTATTCCAGTGCGCCACAAAGGGCCACGATTCCACAGGAAGGAGAGCCAGCACAGCACGGTGGCGCCACTCATCAAGCTCCCCCTTTGCGCTCGGCCACAGAGCCGCTGGGCAGGCGGAGAGGGGGCCAGAACAGCCACCTGACTGCGACTCAAACACTCCCCAGGACCCTTCGAGCCACTCCTGCCTAAACTTTTCAGATCTCACAAGCCACACAAAGTCCGCTGGATGGAAAGAAGAGAACGAGGCAAATCGCGCAGCTCCCGAGGTCTGGTTTTCACGAGGGACTTCGGCATTTATAATAATCCTCCTCATCAAATAAGGAGGATCCATGCCAAGTTCAAGAGGACACGCGTGCTGTTCCCCAAATCATGTGGCATGCCTTCCGGCATTCTTTAACACGCCCTGCACCATGGATTTTTTGCAATGATTCCCAGAGAGAGATGGCAGTCCTTTCTAGAAGGATTGCGGGAAATATGCTGTCAAAAGTAGGTTAGCATGACAAGAACGGACAGCAAGGAAATTAATCTCACAGCGTGGATTAGATACTTGGAGCAATCAAGGGAGAACTGCAGCCCTAACCAGACATTCTTCTATTTGCAATGAGCTGAGCGAAGTGCCAGCCATGGATTGAAGGAATTACTGCATCACCCACATGCAGTTGGAAGAGGAAGGGAAGCTGGAAGGAGGCAGGGCTACTTAACAGGAGACAAGCACCTTCCATTGTTTTCCCGCGCTCGCCTTCCCCAGCTGGCATCCTGCAGAAGGGTTAGACTACATTCCCATCATTCCCAGCAATTCCATCTCAGCCTGCCAGGCTGAGCCACCACGCGCTTAGTGCAATCAAGGCCAAATGCATCATCAACCTGGGATAAAATGGCAGTGCCCATCTATGCAAGGATGTCCAGCAGAAGACGCTGAAGTTTCTTACAAGGACTTCCCTCCACTGCTCTTACCGGCTACTCTGCCAAAGGCCAACCGCATACTGCAGGCTTCCTGGCTGCCACTGGGACCCCATATCTCGGGGTGCCACCAACCAGTCTTCAAACTGGCATCTCCTGCTGGTTCACTTGTCCTGCAGTTACTGTGCAAAATCTCACGGTTGCAGTTCGTGTATTTCATTTCACATGTTTGCTGGCTTCTGACTATCACCATTAGGACACACACCCCATATCAGAAACACTGTGTCAGATGAGCAGCGCTGGACTGATTACTCCCATGCTTCTACTGACGTCACCTCACCAACCCTTAGCCTCTTTGTCCAGGCAAACCAAGGTGGCTTCAGAGGCCCAGAGAATGCTGCAGCACTGATGTTTCTGAGCTAAAGCCATGCAGGGATGAAGCTTGGAGGAGGAGGAGGAGGAGTCCTATGTAAGAGGAGGACATACATGCAATAAAGACGGTATTAGCATGACTTCCAAGCCCAAGCTCCAGGCCAATCCTACCCAAGATGTTTTGGACCACAACTCCCATCTGGCCCGTGCTGCAGGAGCAATCGTCAGGGATTCTGGGAACTAGTCTCACACATCTGAAGGAGACCAGACTCCCTGCACTGCTCGCCAGGACTAGACCCACATACTGCGGCATTAGGAGGACAAGTTAGTCATGTCCCAGTATGCATGACCTACCAACCCCAAATCCCTCCTCCCCTCTTTGAAGGTAAAAGTCAGTTCGTGCTAGCAACTGAGTGGCAGCATTTGCAACCCCTGCTCTGTGTTTTGCCTTCTGGGAAAAGGAGAGAATTCGGAGCCCCACGTGCCGCAGCACCAAGTCATGCCGGAGCGTCTCAGCACAACCTGCCCCAGACACGCCTTCCTGCTAAGTCTTGCAGTCCTAGAAACTTCCACAAGGCCCTTCAGGATCCCGTTCACCGACGGCTGTTCCAGCAGCAAGCCACTAGCAGCTCTCCTCCCAGGCACCCTGGAGCACAGCCTCCCCCTCCAAGGGCCACCACCTGGCATGCGGAGAGCAAGGGGCTACCAGAAATCCCCCACAACCAGTCCCACCCCCTTCCGGTATTTAGTCCCCCTTCCCTGGCCCGCAAGCTGCCTGCCTCGAAGGCGCCCTTCCGTTGACAGCCGAAGTCACTCGGGTCCCTGGCCTGCAGGACGGCCGCCACCAACCCAACATTCCCCCAAAGGGCCCTGCGACGCACGGCCCACTCACGCTTCGCATGCAGCCCCCTCAGCTCAGCACCAATGCTGCTTCTGCCACACGACGCCCAGCTAGCTGGGCCTGCTGCCCACCGAGCCTCCCTCTCCTCCCCTCTCCTCAGAAACACGCACCCGCCACCCCCTCAGCACCTTCCACCCCAGCAGGGAAGTGCTTCCAAACCGCGTCTAACCCTTGGCAGCTCGATCTGCCAAGTCCTCCATCTCTGCCCCACCGACGGCAGCCCTGACACCTGCTTCCTGACCCCGGTTGTCAGGCAGCCAAGATCTCCCACACCGCCAGCCTTCAACCTGCTTCCTTGCTGCCCTCCTCAGAAGCACGCCAACCGCTTCGGGCCGCTTTACTCGCCCCTCAGCTCCCTCTTCTTTAGCCTGGGGGTCTCCTGCTGCAGAGCCCCCACCCCTTCCTAAGGCATCTACACCTTTAAAGCCCCCCCACCTTGGTGTTTTCTGCTAACCTGCAATGCACGCGCGTTCTTTCTCATAAAGGAAAGCTTGGGGGGGGAGACGGTAGCAGCAGCCCCCCCCTCGCGGACATCTGCCCCCCCCCCTCCCCACCGGCGGCTCCCTCGGCTCCCGAGCTGCGCCTCCACCCCGCGGCTCGAAACCCAGGGGTGGCACCCCGGCCCTCCTGGGGCCCAAGCTGCACCCCCGCAGCCTCCCAGTGACCCCACGACACCCCCGCGCGCACTCGCCACTTCCACCCCCTTTCTATGCACGCTCCGGGCGCCCAGCGCGTGCGGACGGGCGCGAAAGCGCACACGCCCCGCGATGGCCTCAACCCCACCCGCAGCGCGGACCGCCTTCGCCCCAGCACTGCCCGGCGTGCGTCGCCGCCGCCGCCCCGCGCCCCATGCATCTCTCGCCGCCCACCTCCCAGCCTGGCCGGCCAGCCGGCGCAACCCCCCCCCTCGGCCCCCGCAGCCATGGGCCGCTGCCCCGCGCGGCGCCGCTCCTCACCATGGCCGGGCCCGGTCAGCGGGAGCGTCGAGACCGCAGAAGCAGCAGCAGCGTCCAGAGGGGAGGTGGGATCAGCACTGGCCGCAACCCGCCGAGCGCCGCCTCACATACGCACACGGCGCGCGCGAGATCCCTCCGCCAACGGCCGCCTCCGGCCTCGCTCCGATTGGCCCTCTGGCGAAGGCGGCCCCGCCCCCTTTCTGCCTGGACCGAAGCAGAGTCTGGCCCCGCCCCCTCCCTGCAGGCACTACTTTTTTGCCCCCTCCTTTCTCCGGCATCGCGCTTCTGTGCTCTCTTTTCGCCCCTCCCTCGAACCGCCTTCCAGCGGAAGGACACTGTATTGTGATGCCGAATTTGTGCCGCGCGCCCCCATTGGCTCGAGTGAGAGGCGCAGGATGAAACTCTTGCGACTATTGGTCGCCTCTCACCTGCAATGCGTCAAAATTGGAGCGGGCCATACCGATGAGGGAAAAAGGGGGAGCGAAGGAAGAACCACATCGGTTGAAGTGGGTGGAGCAGCAGCTTATCTTGGGAAGCAGTGGTCTGGTTGTTTGGTGCGTTTCACGCAGTAGGAGAACCCTTCACGTTCTCTTAAATGGTGCGATCCAACCATCTCCCCTCCCAACACAAATAGATCAACCTGGGCATGGGGAGGAGCTACGCGGACCACTATGCGCGTGCGAGCCCCGCCTCTTTCATGCAACCACGCGCTTATCGCAGGTGAGTTGGCCGCGCCCCTGCCTTTGGCCACGCCCCTTCAGGTCGGGCCACGCCCTCGCGAGTATTCCCTACGCGCGCTACCTGCGGGTTCTTTCCAGCTGATCGGCTTGTCTTTGTCACCTGGAAAGGCCTCGGTCGTTCCCCACCGCCGCTTCCCCCGGCGAGGGGGTGCAGGGATGGGTGAGAGCTCTCCCAGTTGAGCTGCTGCCAGTTGCTCGCCGGGCGCGGAGGGAGCCTATCGAAATGTGCGTAGGACTGCACCCTGTGGGGAACGATTTTATAAAGGGGTATCGCCTCCGTCACGGCTTGCTTGTTTCTCTTCCTTTACAGACAGAACATACCAGCAGGGACTTATCCACGCATTATTGTGTTATGATCATTATGAGTACTAAAAGGAGCACTTTGCCCATTCTTCGACCAACAAAAATGGCTCCCAAGGCAACCTGCAAGTCGGTAAAAACAGGACAGTGCCTGCGTTCGGGCCGCCAATCTAAATGGCATAGCACAAAAGGAAAAGGGATTGTGAGGGAAGAGGAAATGAACAGCCGCCCTTAGTCAGACCACTGGCCTCGGGGCTCTTCTGGAGAGGGTTTGGGTTTCTTACTGCTGTTCCTTTTGTGGCCTGACGATGGGACTGGTTTCCTCCTTGCCATAAATGTTCTTGGCAGGGGGAGCCACCCCCCTGTGGTGCCCAGACCCTTGGCAGACAGAAAGCAATGCTCTCCTGGGCTGGGGCAACTGCCTTGAACCCAGGATCCGAGCCAAACCCTCCAGATAGTGATCAGAGGAATTTCAGCTTGGGATCAGAGGTGCATACCCCAGAGGAGGTCTCCTGGACCACCGCGCTTGCCTCTCCCGGCACCCACATGCCTTGTCTTCTGGGGGCCTCCTTCCCACCTCTCCCCTTGGCACGCACTGGCTGCCACTGGCACCCTGCACACACGCACCTGGCCTGGCGCCCGCCGGTATCCTGATCCGCCAGCTCGGAGATGGTTAACCATGTCGAAAATGGCTCCGGGCCACGGATCGTGTAACGGAGCGCTCCTCTCCTGCTGACTCGTCTGGCGTTCACGGCCTGTCATGGGCTTTCAGTGGATAATGTTACCCCGGAGCTGCCAAGCTGCGCGGAGGGGACCGCGGCCTGCAAGATGAGTCATGGAAAATTGCCGTTTCACCAGGGCTGTGTTCACGGCTCCCCAAAAAATGATGGCCCTCGTGGGGTCACACGGTGTTGGCCCTCTGGTCTGTGGCAGCTTCATCACAAGCATGGCGCGGGTGGGCACTTGTAGACTCCCGGCAGAATAGGCCCCCCTTCTCCAAGCTGGTGCCCACCAAGGGTGGAGCTGCAATTCCCATCAGCTCCACTCAGCATGGCCAGTGTGAGGGATCATGGGAACTGTAGGTCAACACACCTGCATTTTGCACAGGTTCCTTCTCTCTTCTCAGAGGCTGATCTCCCACTCCCCGGGCTTCATTGAGGACTGACAGCTTGAAGGAAAATGAGTGACTTTTCTGGGCCTGTCGGCCCCACACGTCACTGGAATGCCACCCTGACAGCTTCCCCGAGACTAATTGTATCTCTTGGGCAAGGGGTGGGTGTGGATCCGTGCCCCCTGTTTATACTAAATGGGAGCCAGGGCACAGAAGTTAACCCCCACGCACACCAAATCTGCTGAAGTACCGTATTAGCTGATGATGGATTGAGCCTGGGCACACCCTCCATCTGTCTGTGAAGCAGCCCTCCCACCAAGCTCATTGCTCAGCAGAACTGCGTATGCTCAGGAGCTACTTTCCTCTGGCTATGACCCTGCTGAATGCTGCTCAGAGTATCAGCCAGGCCTTCTGCAAAGGATTTTGAGTCCAGGTGTTCAGTCCAAGGGCCTACCAGAAACCAGTTCCAAAATCCCAACAGCCATGATGATGATGATGATGTGGATCATGAGGACTAGGAACCCGCTCCTTGGAACAAAACCCAGGACTGTCAGGACTGTGAGAAAGCCATCCACTCTGTGTTGCAGGTGGCCAGATATTGTGAAACACTCCGGGGCCCATCGGGATTTCATCACGCCTTCCCAGAGCCACTGGGCCTGGCGCTTGTTTGCCAACAGGGCCCAGCCCGTACCGGTTGCCAGCACGTCGCCTCCGCCGAAGCACAGGCTCACCGGGTTCCCAGCAGCCGCGCGCCCCGGGCGGGACAGGGCAGGGCGCAGCCTGCCTCCCTCTGCCGCCAGCGCCGCGTCTTGGCTGGCCGCCAGTTCCTCCCCCGGCTACTGGGAGGCGGTGGCATGGGGAGGCAGAACAGGTCGGGGCAAGCAGCAGGTGCCAACGGAGCTAGTCCCCACGTCCAAGCAGCAGGTGGCCGCCCGGGGCGGTTTCGCTCGCTGGGAGAACGAAAGGAGGCTCCGTGCCGGCCGGCCGGCCGGGATCCGTCCCGCTGGGATCCGTCGGTCCAACCCGCATCCCGGCGTGATCGGCTGCGCGGGCCCGTCCTGCCCCGTCTCGAGAGCTCTGCTTTGCACGCACCACTTCCAGGCACGTGCCGTGAGGTGGGCAGGCGACAAGGCTGCCGTGGAATCTGCACCCTCTGCCACAACAACGCCAAGCCCCCCGTCCTGGCCCTCCAGTGGCACCTTCACCCCACGCATCAAGGGGACAAGTGGCAGGGAGTCCAGAAAGCGGCGCTGCTTAGCGGGCCCCTCCGGCGCCCAGCGGGTTGCTCTTCCTCTGGGACAAGGCGATGGGGCAGAGGGTTCCGGCAGTATGGGCTCCGGCCGTTTCCCAAGGAGAAAGGCTTCCACGCCTCATGATGTGTGTGTGTGTGTGTGTGTGTGTGTGAGGGGGAGGGAGGGAGGGGGGGAGGGAGGGAGGGAGGGAGGGAGGCCAGCTTCAGTCCACACTCAAGGTCTGAGTAGGGCTGGGCGTGGTTTATCACTGAAGCACCGGTGGCTGTTGACGCATCGGTGGTCATGTTGTCTGAACCCACTAGCCCTGCTAACAAACCATGGCTGATTAACTACAAACACCCCATGAATAGAACCCCTGGTTTGCTGTCGGGTTGTATACTGTGCATTATTTGTGGCCGATAAACCGTGGTCTGACAGTGCCGCGGTTTATGGCATCAGACGACACATTCCAGCAACAATCCGCATTTCAGAGCCCGAGTCTGGGTTATCATATGGGGTGAACCCAGTCAGAGAGGGACCACCAATGTCTTCCCCAGTGTGACATCTGCCAGGTGTGTTTGCCATGCAAGGCGGGAATTCCGGGAGCTGCGCTCCAATGCGTCTGGAGGGCACTCAGTCCAGAAAGCAGGTGTAGGGAGAGAATATTGCTACCCCCAGCTCCAGGGCCACGTGTGCCGGGGAGGCCGGGTGGGATTCCCCCGTACCTGTGGACTCTGGCAGGAGAACACCTGAGGCGAAGCGTCCCACCTGCGAGGCATCCTTGGAACCCCCCCCCCCCGGCCTAACGTACCATCCTCACCCTGAGACGCAGAGGCAAATAACATCTTTACTCGTGGTTCGTCAACCCAGTACAAAAGGATCGATCGATCGATCGTCGTCGTAAGGGATCCAGAAGATCGACAACAACAAAAAGGCAATAAAGACATCTTTACAATATATTACAATTTAAGCACAGTCGGCCTGCTCCCTGCGGGGGGGCCACTGCAGGGTCCCTGGCTGCCTGCCCAGAGGCGAAGGGAGCGGCAGGTGTGGTGTGAGGTTGGCCTCTGAGAGGGGGGCGTGCGGTGCTTCCGCCCGTCGTGTCCTCGTCTTCACACCTGAACTGCCCACCTGCCAGATCACACCAACCGGCCGTGTTGGAGGGGGAAACTGGGCCACTGCGGCCGCCACCAGTGCGCTTTGGGGCAGAGTATCTGCCCAAGGCAAGGCAGTTGGTCTGGACAATACAGCCAGGAAAGATCGGTAATAGCAACACTTCAAGGGGCATCAACAGGGCACCCAGAGCACCGCGATGACCCTGGTCGAAACCAGCCTTCCCCAAGCCCGGCCCCTTCCAGATGTGTGCACTACAACTCCCATCATTCCCAGGCGGTGGCCACCCAAAGGGCCCCAGACTGGGAACAGGCTGCTCCAAATAAGCTTGTCTGGAGTGAAACAGCACCGCATTAAATCATCTGGGGATTCCTCTGAGCTCAAGATCTTTGGACCTGCGCTGCTCCTCCCAAATTCCACTCGCGATGCTTGATGCCATTATAGACATCTTTTTTTTGGGGGGGGGCGTGCAGGGTAGAGAGACACGGTCCTCCCTTGCCCTGCCACAGGCAACGGCCTCGTGACACCAGCCCAGGGCAGCTTCCCGGACTACGGTTTGGGGGGGGGGGGGCAGGTCTGCCAGTGGCGAGGAGGCCCCATCACTGGCA